TGAGGGCTGACCGCGTTACCTTTTCCCCAATTCCTATTTATCCTAGATTTGTGTTCAGAGTCGTCTGACTCTGAATACAATTACGATAGGTACCTAATTAAAAATATTAGGAATTGATAATGGTAATGAATGATGATAGCTCGATTGTTAATGACTAAAGCTGCAATTTTAGTTTTTGAAATGACATATTGGTTTTTATAAATGTATTGTACACTTACTAAAATTAATGTATGTTTGTGGAGTTAAGGGTGGATTCAATTTGGATGCAGATTCAGAAGCGAGAGGCTACGGGTTGGATGCACGTCTGATATTCAAGTAGAATTATTTTCTGGTTAAATTCTTGGAATATAAAATTTTACAATTTTTTTTGACGCCTAGAGTATTTCTTGAAATAAAAACAATTTACACTATACAATAGTATTTTATTATAGTGCCGATGAATATCATGATATAAAAATAAAATAATTATCACAGTCCACCACAGAACCAAGGGGAAATAGAAAGAAAAGATAGTATTGTTCACACTGAACAAACATGATTGCAAACAATGAAAGCATATAATAATGAATCATAGAATTTAGTGTCAACTGATAGAATCATGGACTGTGAATTAAATAAAATATACAAATAAAATTACTATTCACGTCAAACTTAATTACCTTTATTCAGATTATATATATGTAATTTATAATTCTTATCTTCAACACATCTTTTATGGTTTTTTTACAAAAACAATAAACCTTAACAATATTTATATATTATTAAATACATTGCATGCTCGTCCATTATTTACATGGAATCTATAACATTTCGTAAGTAAATAAACATAACAAATTGCACATGTTACAATCAGATTTTTGATCCAGTCAAAATATTTCATAGATAAATATATTAACCTAAATAAATAAAACATTGCGCAAACGTCATTAAATTATTCAACCATCAGTCAACAGATTATATCTTATTTACTTCAACATTAATATAAATAAAGGAAAAACAGACATTGAGGTGTGCAAAGTGTAACAAGTTAACAATTACAATATTTGAATAGATAACTATTGTATTATTTTAACATAGGTATTATTTGTATATTAATAGCGCATTAAATTACCAGTGCGTATTTATTTATAATTGAGGTTGAACTTTCTGTCAAACATGTTGAATTTAAATAACATTAAATATATATTGGTTAATCCAATGTGCTGTTGGCCGAATATATTTTTCTTTTTATTGAAATTTAAATAAAAGCACTATCTAATTTTAGATTACCGACATTAGGCCGTCACAATTTTTAATTTTCATCCTTTGCTTTTATTTCTCATTGCAAAATTAATTATTCATTTCATCATTTCCATTTAAATTGTGACATTAATAATAATGACTGAACATAAAAGAAAGTTTGTAAATCTAGTACCTACACCAGTATGCCATTGAATTAATAACGATAATCTTAGACAAATGGAAAAATCTCCGGTACAGCACAACAATCATTATGTTCGCAATAATGCATACCACATTTCTTAGGATACATAATTTAAGAAACTTAAACGTATTAATTTACTATTTGTATAACGGTGTTACTTTGACAATAATTAATTAAAAAAATTAAATACTAGCACCAGAGAATTGAAAGATTAGCTGGTATGCATTATCTGTTTTGGCAGCGTCGAACCAAATCGTTGTTGCTGATACAAAATTCGTACTAATTAATTATTAAATAATACTAAGCTTATGTGTTTAAGTTATAATTACGCGTGATTGATATTAAAGACGATCATCTAATAAAAATTGTTTCACGAATCCTAAATGGTCGAACAACATCTTACAACCTCGAATATTAATTTGTATTTTAGGTTAAATTAAGGCATCATTTCATTAGCTCTCATTTCTCTATAAAAATAAAATACATTTAAATTCTTAATTATTTGTGAATTAGGGTAACATCACTCGTTACTCACGTCGACATGTCAGGCCATGTTTGTACCAAAAAACCTAGATTATAATGTTTAATGACTCCAAAGTTTACTTAAATTAAGAGCTTATTTAATAAGTAGATTATTGGAGTATACTGAAATTAATTTTAATAATAAAAAACGTCGTTTTAATTTAGGCTAACATTTATTTTACCATGTCTGTGATTGTGTTCATATTCTACAACAATAAGAATAAATTTCGTTGTCAGTGCTTTAGTAATTTATTCTATTGTGAATATATATAATTTCTTAGGTAAAGAATAGCAACATGTGTATTTCCTACAATTTTAAAGTTAATGTCCGAATTTGTTTGGATCTAAGATGTCAGAAATAATAAATCAATTAATATGCTATATAAAAATATGCTATAACCATAATAATACATACTTAAAAATAATATCTAGTGGTCATATGAGGAATGAAAGCAAGTTAATTTAAATTGACTACAAGTCTAAAATACTTAGGTGAAACTATAACATATTTTTATTCAATAAATATTCCTTAGTTGATTCACAATAAGTAATAAATTTTCAACAAAATAAATAATAAATTATTTAAAAATAAATAAATAAAAGTGGGTAGACACATATATTATTATCAAGAAATTACAGTAAGAATGAGTTAAAAAAATTCCGACAGTATTTTAAAAACCATTTAAATAGTGATTTTGTCAAAAACAAATGTGCAGTAAAATAATTACATTTTACCATTTCAGTAATAAAATAAAAATAACGACATAATCCTACACTTTGAAGTGTATTTGTGTAAATATATATCCACTAACTAGTGGTTCTTTAACTGTCGACTTATCTTCAACCAAGAGTAATAATGTACCTTAGTCAGTCTGTATTTAGTCACGAGTAATTGATATTCCTAAAGAGACAACAATGTAGGGGCATCGATTTAACCATTTACTCTGAATAAAATGTATAGTAATATTACAGACACTCGGTCGGCTACGTCACAATTCGTATTGCGTCATATTAAGTACCATTATCACTGTACAGGTCTGCGATTTGCGCAAAATGAAGCATTTTAAAACCTCATCACACTAATAAAACTGTTTTTGCAATTCAACAGGATAATTTCCACACCATATTCAGTATGTTAGACATTGGCTTCCTGTCACAGTTCAGTGTAATGACGGCGAATAATTTCACACCATGTCAAAGGGCATTTGAATTAGGTCATTCATTAAAAAGCTAAACCGTGATTCTTCTCTTCCAATTCAGGAGTGACAAATACATTGTAAATGACGTTGGCTATGACCCTCACAATTAGAGCCCACCTGTGGATAACAAACGAAAATGTTCAGATAGAAAGACTTCCAAATCTCAAGAACAGACGTGAATGGTAAACAGTTACAAGTCATAGTCATATCAAATTAAAACAAAATTACCTAGTTTATATTTACTTAGATAATGGCGTAAGAAGTTAGCGCCTTCGTGGAAGTCAGGCAACTTTCACCAGTCACCAGATAGACGACCAAAAATTTAACCATCACGAGCTCTCGTGTTACGGAAGGAACGTTAAGCCGTTGGTCCCGGCTGCATATGCAGTCGTTAAAACCCTTCATCCACACACACCCCCTGTTCCATCCATAGGGAAGGCCTGTGCCCCAGCAGTGGAGACATTAATAGGTTATCAGCCTAAACTCTTCATCAGAAGAGTTTATTCTACAGAAGTCACGTCATGATGCAAACAGAGAGCGTCGAAGTTGGAATAGGAATTGTGACTTGCCGCTCGGCCACACTCTATGATGATGATGATTTTTCTGCCTTATTCTGTCTGAAAACCCGTGCTTATCTTCTTCGTTTCTTCATGTTTAGTTGATGGTCTGCTCCGTCATCTGCAGACAGAGCGTGTCGAGGCCGGTAGAGTCGTCGCGAGTAGGAATGTGACTTGCCATACTCTATAATGATCATGATATAGCAATTCTTACCTTCCATAGTTCAGTTGATGGCCTGCTCCGTCATCTGCAGACAGAGCTCGTCGAGGCCGGGGTAGTCGTCGCCAGCGAAGGGGGCGGGCAGGAGTGCGACTTGCCGCATGATATAATGATGATGATATAGCTATTCTAAACTTTATAGTTTTTTCATCTTTCAGGTGATGGCCTGCTCCTTCATCTGCAGACAGAGCGCGTCGAGGCCGGGGTAGTCGTCGTCGGCGAGGCGAGCGGGCAGGAGTGCGACTTGCCATACTCTATAATGATGACAATATAGCTATTCTAACCTTTATAGTTTTTTCATCTTTCAGGTGATGGCCTGCTCCGTCATCTGCAGACAGAGCGCGTCGAGGCCGGGGTAGTCGTCTACGGCGAGGGGGGCGGGCAGGAGTTCGACTTGCCGCATGCTATAATGATGATATACCTGCGATATTCTGTTTGAAAGTCCGTCCTCACCTTCATAGTTCAGTTGATGGCCTGCTCCGTCAGAGCGCTTCGAATCCGGGGTAGTCGTCGCGAGTAGGAATGCGACTTGCCATACGCTATAATGATGATGATATAGCAATTCTTACCTTTATCGTTCAGTTGATGGCCTGCTCCGTCATCTGCAGACAGAGCGCATCGAGGCCGGGGTAGTCGTCGCGAGTAGGAATGCGACTTGCCATACGCTATAATGATGATGATATAGCAATTCTTACCTTTATCGTTCAGTTGATGGCCTGCTCCGTCATCTACAGACAGAGCGCATCGAGGCCGGGGTAGTCGTCGCGAGTAGGAATGCGACTTGCCATACGCTATAATGATGATGATATAGCAATTCTTACCTTTATCGTTCAGTTGATGGCCTGCTCCGTCATCTGCAGACAGAGCGCATCGAGGCCGGGGTAGTCGTCGCTAGTAGGAATGTGACTTGCCATACGCTATAATGATGATGATATAGCAATTCCTACCTTCATCGTTCAGTTGATGGCCTGCTCCGTCATCTGCAGATAGAGCGCGTCGAGGCCGGGGTAGTCATCGCTAGTAGGAATGTGACTTGCCATACGCTATAATGATGATATAGCAATTCCTACTTTCAACGTTCAGTTGATGGCCTGCTCCGTCATCTGCAGACAGAGCGCGTCGAGGCCGGGGTAGTCGTCTACGGCGAGGGAGGCGGGCGCCGGGGGCCGCGGGGCGGGAGGCGGCGGGTAGGAGTGAGACTTGCCGCGGGGCACTGCCGGCCCTAGTTTACTGGGCGCCCACGCACGGCGAGGCAACGCTTTCTGGTACCCGTTGTGGGGTACGCGCCATCTTTTGAATGAAACGAAAATTATGATAATATATATTTCTATATCAAAATACTTATATACTAGCTGACTCAGCGAACTTCGTACCGCCATAAAAATAGGGGTTGGTGGTAGAAGGGCATATGGATCTGGTTTATTTGCATAGTTTTTGACCTTACATTTTGTCTTTGCGCGGCGTAGTAATCAAAGCAAGGTCAAAACACCAGTGTTTGAAAATTATGCACAATAGACACGTGTGCGTAGTTTTGCTTCCGGCACTTTTTGAGCGCTATTGTGAGTCTACTTGTTTACGTCAATGCATACGTCTGCTGCACATATTTTTGATGCAACCTCTGTTTACCGTTATAATCAACGATATTTAATACCCTAGATACAACAACATGAACAAAATCGTGGCCGAAACCTGACCAGAAGGTACATTGAACGATCCACGGAGCTCCGTAAGATGATCGCGTAGTCAAAAACTTATTATTATTATTATTTAAACATTCAAAGTCACCTTTAATGCATAGTTTATAAGGTCTTATAATAAACGCATGCGTCAAAGAGTTGTGACAGTTCGAAATGCAAGCTCGTAAAATTTTACGACTTGTTGCTATAGACGGAAGAATATAGACTTTATTTCTTTGTCTCTGCGCGTAATTCTGAATGCGCTGTTAGCAATATAGCGCGTACGGAGCGCGAGGCAATGAGACTGCTATATAACCGACAATGCAATTGAATTTCTCGAATATTTCTATTAAATCAGTTAATAGTAAGTATTTAAACAAGATTTGCTTCAAATACGTAAATTTAACAAAAAAATATTAAATACCTTTTGAAAAAACGACACTACGCACTATAAGTATTTTTTCGCATTTTTTCACCTATCTCTGCGGCATCTTGACTTTTCAACGGTCCGAGCGTGAATTTGAATCGAGAAGTGCTTGAGTGGAGTTTAAGCATTTTGATTGGGACACAATAGGCTACTTGACACTTTTTGGAAATATGTTTTAAATGGTTAATAATTGTTCTATTAGGCTGAAAAAATGTATTGTATTTTTTTTGACCTAGAAAGCTACAAAACCTTAAATTTAAAATAGATTTTTCATGGACATACAAAAACGCTGTCAGCCATTTTAGTCTATAGATTATCTATGCTATGACGTCAACAAAATCGTAAACAAACATTCGGAAGCACGTAGGAAATAACCTGAATCTAAATTTATATTCTTCTTCTTCTTCATCTTCAACCTTTATCCACCCACTGCTGGGTATAGGTGTTGTGCGATCCGGATGCAATTTCGTCCTGGTGATGTCATCGGACCATCTGGCGGGCTGCCTACCTACGTTTCTGCGTCCTGTTCTAGGCCGCCACTTCACAATAGCTCGACTCCACCTGTCGTCCGTTCTGCGAACCACGTGACCTTTTTTTTTATAACGCAGGTAAAAAAAACTTTTTACAGACGACGGCGCCTTTAAGAGGCACACCGCCGAACGGACCTCACACCAGGCTCCCGCAAGTCTTACGGACCCCCCAGTGGCTACCCACCGAGGACCCCGCAATTCTTACGGGCGCTTTACAGCATCACCTCCACTTCTTCCCTGCGAGTTCGCGAGCAATGTCGCGTAGCTTTGTTCGTACGTAACATACGGAAGTATGTTTTCATTGCGTACACGATCTCTCAGGGATAAACCGAGCATGGCACGCTCCATTTTTCTCTGAGCGACTTTCATGGTGTGGACATGTTGCCTTGTCATAGTCCAGGTTTCGGCTCCATAAGTCAGAACAGGAAGAACACATTGGGTGAAAGTGCGACGTTTGAGGAAATGTGGCATCTTACTTTTGAAGATGTCGGATAATTTGCCGAACGCTGCCCAACCCAGTCCAATATGACGGTCGATTGCTCTAGCCTGTCCGCTTTTATCGAGTGTAATGAGCTGCCCCAAATACAAATAGTCTTTCACCCGTTCGATACGACTTTCTGCTAATACTATGTATTCTATACTTGGGTCTTGGCACATTATTTTTGTTTTTGAGGTGTTCATGCGGAGGCCAACCGCTATCAAGACGTCATATAGTTCCTGCAACATACATTGCAGGTCCGCTGTGGTCTCAGCAAAGACTATTATGTCATCAGCGAATCGCAAGTGAGTTAAGCGCTCTCCGTTTATGTTGATACCCCTATTCAACCAGTCGAGGAGCTTAAATATATCTTCCAGGCATGCCGTTAACACTTTGGGTGAGATGGTATCCCCCTGTCGTACGCCTCTCTTTACAGGGATGTGTTCCGAAAGATCATGGAGCTTGAGTTGAAGTGTGGCTGCATTGCAAATCTCTTTAAGTACATCGATATACCTCGTATCTACCTCCTCTCCTTTTAAGTGCATTTATGACGGCCCAATGTTCCACAGTGTTAGTGTTTTGTTCCAAAGCTTTTTCGTAGTCGACAAAACCTAATTTATATTATAAAACCATGATTTCTAATAGATTTCATGATAAATATAATAATTATCATGACTGTATTATACGAGAATGTAGAAACACATCGTTAAAGACTCCAGAAAAGTTGTGGTTTAAATTGTCTAGAGAAATTCACATACCTACACATGAACACAGTCATGTTTAAAACTTGCTAAATCTTGTAATTTTACTGTCTGAAAGTAATTTCTTTTAGCAAAGATCACTTTAATGTGAGTACTCATTGTATAATATTTAAAGTTTGAAAATACATTTTTTAAGGTTATGAATGTACCTACTAAGTCAAAGAGTTTTGTCGTTTCTGCTTTCACAAATCCGGCGTCCAGCATAAGTTTAGTAAACAAAACCAATAAACGGATTTTTTTCTACAAGATGTAAGTTTTTTAAGATATATTTTAGTCCGACGAAAGACACCACAGTAACACGACAATGACGTTTACTTGTTTACTCACATATTTACCAACTTGTTGACGTCACAATCATGGTGGACAGCGTTTTGAGTGTTTAAAAAGCATAGACTAAAAACCATTTTTCAAATTAAATTACTACAGCCATCTTATAATTTTATGAAGTGAAATCGATGTATTTGGGTTCCTCATACCAAACATTATAAGAAATAAACATTTTTATAGTGCAATTTGACATGAGTCAACTAGCCTATTTGAGCGCACGTGGCGTATCTAGGGGTTTTAATATCGTTGGTTAATGGTTATAATGCTAAAGATTCGCATAGCAGTCTGCAGGTGCGCGCAGGATGAAATTGAAACCTCTACATACTTTCGCTCGCTGCTAACTTCGCAATCGCCACAAAGTTTGAATCGCACTTTACGACTATAGATTTAGAGAGTGGACCGAGCAATAATCGCATGAAATTTGTAAATTCTCTAGAAAAAAAAACAGCCGAATCATAGGCAAACGACGGATCGCAAAATCAATCACCTCTGTCACACTTACGGTACAATAGGCCATTTGAAAATATGGGAAAAAAAATTGTGTGTGTCAGCTCCGACGCACGACTGGAGTTTACTCCTTAAGCTCGATAGTCTAACCAGACGGAAAAAGAGTTTATTTAACTTAAAAAAGATTGATACTGTATGAAAGGGTAAATTAAAAAATTAATGAAAATAATATACATATATAAATATATATTTATTCATTTCATATACATTTATTATAACTAATCGACGAAATATTTTACATTAAACTTTTTACAATAGTCAATTTCAGATGTGCTTAAAATATATTATTTTAAGTTTACAGTCATGGTGCGCGATAACAGAGTCATGTTGTTTAGTTTAATATTTGTAAGGACAAATCTCAGTTTGTCCTTGGTGGGCGATTATATATACGCCATTTGTACATTTAAAATTTTAGTTCATATGTATCAAAATAGATGGCGCTGTAGTTCGTTGCATCACGCTTGTAAATATGTTTGGAGCTACATGTAGGCAAAACGTCGCCTAACTAATAAAGAAATCTATGGTGTAACAAAATACACTGTAGTTTCAATTTAATTCTTTTGCAGCTAAGCTCTCGGATTTAAGAGTCATTTTGGCTCGAACAGGATGCGCACCAAAAACGTAATGAGGTCATTCATCGATAGATTTTACTCCTCAAATTTTTCTCATACCGGGCCCCTCATATATACAAATTGCAAATCGATTCTTAAGGAGTAAATTCCAAAAACTTACCAATTGTTGACATCTGAATTAATATGAATATTAGCAACGATTTTACTATTCTGAGAGTACACATTATTATTAATTATTTTACTTTTCTAAAAAACTATTAAATACAAATGGTTTTTTTCTGTTATTTGGTTACGTGACCGAAAACGCCTAGGACTGGCGGAGCCTAAAATGACGTCCTGCTTCTAAACATGCTATCGAAGTGACATTACTTTGTACTACTGACGTTAATGAGAGCCGTGTGACGTCACCTGCTTGTAACAGGCCAGTGCCATATTTGCTGGAGAAACGTTTCCACGGCATATTTGAAAACATAATTATCTTCGTTTTATTGACTCAAGAGAATTATAAATATCCACTATTTATGGAGTCATTATACAGTAATAAGTAACATAAAACCATTTATAAAAACTTGTGAAATAGCCTATTGCTTAGGGAACGCTCAGTCCATTCTGTATGTCTATGATTACGACTTGAGTGACGGCGGTTGTTAAGTGTGTAACGTCGTATCTACGCCATTACTTCAATAAATAAACATTAAATAGTTTGCCACCCGTCACTCGACAATTTTCCTTATTTTACGTACCAAACATTAAAAAAAAATACTAATAATTAGTTTTATTTTAAATGTAGAATAAAATATAAATAATATAGTGCGATTCAAATAAGAATAGGAAAGCCAATGCCAAATCTGTCAAATGTCGCTTTAAAGGTACGGTTTGCAAAAAAATCTTGGAACACTTTTTTTATCACTGAACTAATCTTAGAATAAATAGCAAACATTTGTAAATAAATCATATGTAACGTATAGAAAATGAGTACTGGACAAAGTAAGTATAAGAACTTTAGTTTTAT